CATTCTGCTCCCTCGTGCCTGGACCTACTACTAAAGAGTTGTGAGCAACGTGTACATGATATTCAGGTCCTGGAGCCTCTGGCAGCTAGTGACCACTTGATGGCGTTAGCCAGCTTCGAGCTGCCTCTGCCCTATTCACGTCTGCCGGAGCTGTCCTACAATTATTGAAAGACCGACTTCAATGGTCTAAATCGAGACACCAGTAAAGTAGAGTGGTTGCTGTCGCAGGATTCATCTATTGAAACCGACTGATCAGTTATAAAGTGGGTATGCAATTGTCGTGCGATGTTTCCTACCCTTCAAGTTTCGGAAATTTGCACCAGTGGAACCACATTGGTTTGACAAAGAGTATAGTCAATTGGTTGGACAACGACGCGTATTGTGGCATAAATCCCTAGTGTTTGGCTCTGCCGACGATTATGATGTGTCGAAGAGGCAGCGGAATCTATGCAACAGCGCAAAAGCGAAGCATCGGCAATTCGAAGAGGAGCTTGCAACCTCAGCAAAGACAGACCCCAAGAAGTTATTTTTTTAAGTGAAACGGCTCCTGAGGAACGAAAATGTAGCTGGATTAGAAGGCACTGACCTCTGGCAACTGAAGGTGTGTCCGCATTAGCGGAGCGCTTCACTTCCGTATATACTGAAGGGCATGCGTCTTTGCCCAGCTCAACGTGTGCAGTCCCTATTGAACTCAAGGGCCTTGATCGCTGTGTAGAAGATGTCCGCAGTCTACTCGCCAGTCTTGATGGCACAAAACCTGCCGGACCCGATGGAGTTTACCCGCTAATTTTGAAGTCCCTATCGGCTATCATCTTGCCTGCCGTGGAAGATCCGTTCAACAGATCGCTGTCTGAGGGTGCCTTGCCGAGCTACTGGAAAGGCTCGGTAGTGAAACCGATTCCAAAAGGCGGTGGCGCAGGCAATGTGGATAATTACCGGTCGATTTGTCTCACCTCTGTCTTGGCGAAGGTGCTCGAGAATATTGTGAAAAAGGGTTTGCTCTAGGTACTGGCGTCGAAAGATCTCCTAACGCCGACACAGTAGAGCTTCATGAAATGCCGCTCTTGCATCACCAACCTGATGTTAACGCGACAGGAATAGTTGCAAGCGCTGAATCGCGAAAAGTCAATGGATGTTATCTACATTGATGTCAGTTAAGCTTTCGATAAAGTGAACCATGAGGTCCTGCTCCACAAGTTAAGAATGTGTGGTATTGGTGGCTCAATGTACCAGTGGATCAGTGACTTCCTTATTGGGAGAAGATGGCGGGTACAGGTGGATGACCACCGAACAGCCTAGTACCCCTTCACTAGCGGTGTACTTCGAGACACAGTGCTGGGGTCCATTTTATTCCCGATACACATCAACGAAGTGCCACTGCTTCTTCGTTCGCTTTGTGCACTGTTTGCAGACGACTTGAAGATTTGGTGGGTTATTGGTTCTCCCGACGGCTGTGACATCCTTCAGCAGGACCTGGACCGCCTATCCCGGTGGCCTGCAGAACTTGACCTGTAGGTCAATACGAAAAAGTCCTTGTTTATGTGTATAAGTAGAGGCAGCGATGGGCGTGCGAACAACCTGGCCGGCAACCTACTGCATCCCACCGGTTACGTAAAGGATCTAGACGTACTCTCAAGCTGTGATCTAAAGTCTGTCGACAGCACGAACAGACTGTACGCAAACGGACTACGCTTGTTTTGGACATTCCGACGCGGCTTCTGCACTTGGCCTGAAGAGATTTCCACCCGGCTATTCTCTTCGATACTAAGGCCGGTGCTTAAGTACGGCTCATCCGATTATAGTCCAATCACAGTGGGTGAGGTACAGAGATTGGAACGAGTTAAGCATGTGGCTACCCTGCTCATCTCCAGTTTAAGGGGTATGTCGTACGAAGACCGATGTAGGAGACTAGGGCTTTATACCCTGTCATATCGTCGGCTTCGAGTTGATCACATAATGACGCATCGCATATTGCACCTGGGCCACTTCCCTACGTTTAGGCTTCTGCTGCAAGTTCCCGCACCAAGCAACACACGTGGACACGGGTACAAACTAGTGGTATCAGATTAATGCGCATCGCTCACCCTCTATGCTTCGAACCTCGAGGGATGAAATATTGTAAGCAATTTCCTGAGACGCTAGTGAAGGCGAAATCGGTGTCGGAATTTAAGGGATTCCTAGATGCCCACTTTGCGGATTACAGGCATCACACCTGCATACGATGCAGTGCGGCTGAAATATGCTGCCACCGCGCAGGAATCAGCGACGTGATTCCGCGCATGTGCCCGATCCACCTACGATGGAGCAACACTGATTTGTATCTTCTCGCTCACTATTATCAGTATTCAATATTCAGTATCCAGTATTCATATCATCTTCCACCTCTTACGAACTGACTACTATGACGCTGCGTTCATGTAATATGCCTGTCAAAAATTGATAACTGAGTTTACCATATGCCTAAAAATAGCTTTAACCATCGGTAGATCGGCTAGGCACGTAGCAAAAGAAACAAGGAATAAAGGCGGATCATAAAGAAGGTCTGGTGAGCGACAAATATGCTACCATCATAGGGCAAATTGGCCGATTATTTACCTACTTTGACAAGGTGCATTCCGCATAGGAATATTGCCTGACCCCATTGCCAATCCTCTGCGAACTTCTTCTTGGAAGTTGCGTGGTGCACTGTTGTTCGAAACTTCATCAAACGCAGATTCCATATATTTTCCAGCACATATCCATCTGGGGCCTCCAAGTGTTCTTGTATTGGGACGTCCGTCTGGTCTGTTTTCACTCGTTGCTGCCAGGTTCGCTTACTACCCTAATACTACTGACTTCCGGGGGCAGTACTCTCTACTTGTCTTAGCACTAATTCTGGGGCCACTTTGTTAGAGTCTAGGAAAAGTCGCGCTAGATTTGGACTAACTGGGGAACGGTAAGCGAGGGGTCTGACATACATGGACTTTAGCTCTCGGTCTGGTTGACGTATCTGGTACACTTCGGTAATGTTCTATGAGGGGGATAACTTGTATCGGTAACTGTCATTGACGTTAGCTTACTGAAAGAGCATACATGAGTGAATACAAGGATACCAGTAATAGTCTGCTTGGAAGACTGCCACTTGAGGACAAATGTGACACCGACCGGACCTTGAACTGAACTGCTTTTCCAGTATATCAGGAAAAATCACGGTACTTCCAGTGTGGGAGAACACAGGCAGGGATAAATATAAGAAGCAAATTTTGAGGTGTAGAAGAAGCGCACAGACGTGAAGCGTGAAAGAATAATCTCCAATTTTGTGAACATTTCATCCATGACAAGCCGTAGTTAAAGGTGACACCTATATACTTCACTCATGTGCAGGAGTGCAACCCCCAGCATAGATGTGGTTTTTCGGGTTTTGATAGAGAAGCCATCGATATCAATCACTGTAGATTGAAAAGCAATTTCTTCACATCGACACGTTAAGTGACAGCTCGCGGTCATGCGATCAAAATGTGAGGTCGTACAGATATTTTGTACTCTGATGCCCGAGACAATGTCAGTTGCACACTTCACCAGGGTCGACTCCAAAGGAGCTGGTATAGGGCTGATATAGGTAAAAATAGAATTGATGACAGAATATTGTGAAGGAATTCGGTGTTTGTGCTTAGGGGCAGGGTGCTCCTGCATCCATGCCGGGTAACTTGAGTACGATCAGCTAAATAATCGCTTTAAAAGTAGGCGACGAAAGGATGTATTCCAGCACTGAGTAGAGGGTACAACGGCGATCCGCGGATTTGGCAGATGAATGAAGTACCGTTGTCCAGAAAGCAAATTCTAGTGGAATTAATCAAAATATCTAGCCATGATAGAATAGAATGCACGAGGCAGGCCACTGTGTTTTGGACTGACTTCCAACGGCAGCAGACAAATTGAAAGGAATCATTTGACCACTTTTGTGTTAGCAGCTTCGCAAGAATGACTTCAAATGCCATCAAGGATATCTGAAGTACAAGCAGTTGGTCAGTAATTGATTGATCCGTTATCTGGTATTGGTACAACGTTGGAACTTCTCCGGCAGTCTGCAATTTTATGTTGTCGAATGTACAATCAACACAACTTGGTTAGAGATTCGGCCAACAGGAGACAGTTTATCCGGACCGCTCGCTCTGTCTAAGTGTAGCTGCTTCGGCAACCTGTGCACGATGTCGTCGTCGACAGGGATCAATTAGTCTGCAGCTAAGCTAAGACCGTCAAGGGTTGCGTCTGAGTTTGGCTTATCGTAGCATTTGCAGAAGTCCTGGTTTATTTTTCCACATCGACACCAGAGGTTGATGTACATCTGGTAGCCACGCTTAATGCTGCAACATCCTCCAAAGTTCAAGACAGACAGTGTCTGCAAGTGTCACCTGAACATACACGTAGTTAATACTGCGTAACTACTCTTTCATAAGGGTAGAGAGGCTACACTGGAGGATTACGGTAGCCAAATCAACGTGCACGAGGCCTTCGAGCCTAAACGCACACAGGGGTGATTAGAAGGTGCCCATTGGTGACAGCGTAGGCGACCGCGATTAAGCAGACCCCAAATTCATGCACATAAAAGAAATTTGTGCAGACCCTCTGCTTACCCTGGCCATAGGTCGTCGCGTCTAACGGCGAGGATCACGCTGCCTCTCCAACTTGATAGCGGATGGCCCAATCACGTACGCCTAACAAGTAGTCTCTTCTATTTCAGATACGGCTCTATAGACTAAATTAACCGTGGTTCACTTCCACGTGGATCACAGGCCAGATTGAGAATCCCTCTAACAATACATTCACACAAGGAATTCCTCAAAAGAATTCTTTGGAGTGTCCACTTCGTTCCACTGACTCTCCCATTTATCTTGTGCTATTTCTAGTCACTTCTCTAGTGGCGCTTTAAGCCTACCATGGGCACCAAAAACGGGTGTGTTTGCCAACTCGACTTTAAATTATTTTCATTAATAAATTAATTCCTCCAATAATCTACTCACCTGAAAAATGCGGACCGCATGCTTGCTCCTTCAAACGGTTTCATTTTACAGAGCGCATTGAACAGAAGCGTCTCTTTATACCAGTCCGTTAGTGTGCTGTATTCTTTGAAATCTCCGTCACACATAAGAACCCCATGCGGACTGAATATAAAGTATTTCTTGTTAGGCTAGTAAGTGTTGAAGAGTAGATGTATGTGTAAGCATTCGCGAGTGCAGAAAATACGGGGTGTACAAAATCAAAGAATAGAAACGATTTCGTTAGATCAGATTATGTTAACAGTCCATTAACAATTTTGCAGATCCATGGAAAAGGGCTAAGTAGTAGGTGATTAATTTACTTCAAACTCATATGTGTGGGCGGAGTGTTTGTCTCTACACTTGGTAATAAGTGATTTATACGGTAAGCATGAGTTACGTTGATTATCTGTGAAGTTGTCAATGTCATCATGCTATCCGATGCTACAATCTCTACTACCTCGTTACGCCGGCGCAACACCATACTTGAAACACATATCTACCGACTCATTACTGAGATTAGAGGAGCTTTTTTTTACAACTGCAGTAATACACAAAGTCTCCTCAGTAAACCTGTCGAAATCGGACTACATTATACCACACACATCAGGGACTTGTAGCACCGCAAATAACAATTCTTATCATGTTCAATGTTGCTATTAATCAAATGTACACTATGCATCCTTGTTTTAATGGTCGTTAACCTGCGGCCCTGCTTGCCCACATCTGGCTTACCACTCATCTGATCAAGGAGTTACTGGGCAGATGTCCGCTACTATTAGTCTTAGCCTCCTACGTCCTCTCGAAAACAGTCCGCTGTGCTCGACTTCATTTAACTTGAACTATTGATATTCGACTAGGTGTTGCGGTCCGGAGTGGCATACCTCGTGCTCATGACTGAGAGGCGGTTGTACTGCGAGACTGCGGATGCCAACCTCGCGATACGCGGGACGTCCCTAGTTTTGCACCGTTGCCTTATCAAGGGTAGTGCAATACTTCTGTACTACCGCAGGGAATTGCGGCATGAGCCGGGGAATGATCTGGAAACACTGGTCACAGACTTATTCTGGTGCCATCAACAAATGGGAGACAACGAATATACCTTGTGGCATTTGTTTGTCGTTCCTCAGTGCCCACTTTAGTGATGGACCCCAGTATGACGTTCGCGCCGAGAAGAGGTTGTATGTTCAGCCTACCCGTTCAGACACACTATGCTACGTGTGTGCATCACAGACACATGTGCGTGATTGGCCGTTCTCAATCACTTCATTCTTTTACGTATCAGCTCTGGGTAGACATTTCCTTGAAGTACATTGTGTTACTTGCATATAGTTGTTCTTTACTTGTGTGTAGCACAGTAGACATGTCTTACTCTCATCTCAGGAGACCTTTGCGATCATGAGCTGTACGTTCCACGATCCCAATTGAGAACCTTAAAGCCTATCTGCAGGATTTTATTGCATGCATTCTGTTGTTTAGGTTTTTCCGTGCATCCACCAGATTCAGAGTGACAAAGGAAACATAAGTGTTGGATTTAAAGCATGCGAAGGAATAGCCCATTATCACTAAGCTATCGCACAGTGACCGTGTCACTGTACCTTACGACCAAGTACGTTGTACTGAGTGTCCTCAGGAGCAAATCGACTTAGTACGCACAATGATGAAATGTGACGGGTTAGCAGCAGAAACGAAACAGCAGGTAGGAATGCAAAGTGGCCTCTAAAAAATGAATGATATAAACTTTGCTTTCCCTAAACCACCATCTGCGATGTTCCGTGTTCGTTTTCCCCCTCAAATATGACAGAAGGTTAGGCAATACTAGATCATCATCCACATCCTCCCCCCACCTCCTCCTCCTCATCCTCATCATCATTAGCATCATCATGAGCATCAAGCAATCAAGCAATCACTCAAGCATCATCAACAGTAACAATCAGTCAATCATCATCATCATCATCACCTGCATCATCACCATAATCCTCCTCCTCTTCCTCCTCATCATCATCAAGCACTCCATCATCATCATCATCATTCTCAGCATCATCGTCATCATCATCAATCAGTCAATCAATTAATAAATAACTCAGTCATCATAATCATCGTCATCCTCAGCAGCAGCAGCAGCAGCAGCAGCAGCAGCAGCAGCAGCAGCAGCAGCAGCAGCAGCAGCAGCAGCAGCAGCAGCACATTAGCTATCTGAACTGATGTTATGCTGCCATACGACCATAACGACCTAAGGACCGAAGAATAATAGGAGAGAGAAAGGGGGACTTATCGAAAAACCGTAATGCACAAAGCAAACATTTGGGGGCAGCGCGCCCACATCTTGTTAACAACATGCCATGACAAACAGCTGGCTATCGTTCAATGATAAGGCGGGATCGGCGAAACAGCTTTTTGCGGATTTCACTGCCACCCGTCATTAACTAGACCGTAGCTCTGGTAGTTAGGCGGGACACAGTACACGTTGTGTGATCGATCAAATTCCGCCGATCATAACAGCTTCTGATGTTATCAGGAATGGGGTAGCTTAAAACCAGCCTTAGGCATTTGCAGCTCATAAGTCGCTGGTCAAGCCCGATTTCCCAGAGACGTCCGTCACACATTCAGAGATTGTTGAAATGGTCACCCAGGATGAAAGCACTTGCGGTGTCTTCTGTTATAAACACAACTGACACTAACAGCGAGACAAACAGTAGGCCATCATCACTTGGTAGACAACCAGGATCAACAATCACCCGACCTTGCAACTCAACAAGAAAGGGCTCCAAAAATAATGCCCTGAGTGTTGTAGGCTCAAATGTCCCCGAAGCTGCCGCCATCATATTGCGGGGTAAGTTGGCTAAAGGCCAAGACCAGTGCCACTCATTGTGCATTTTGATGAACGTCAAAGCCAAAGCCACAAACTGGTTACCCAGTTTTCCAAATATCGATGAAAGTTAGCCACTCAGCTTAGCCGCGTTGAGATACAATCACCCTTGACTGAGGCTCTCATTGGTTGCCAAGCTCGTTCCCTGGAAACATCTGTTTTTCCTATCTAGGCACTCCACGCATAAGTTTTTTTTTGGAGAAGCTGCTGTGTTTGGATTGTAGCGATGAATCTACATCCTTGCTTTTTTGAGTTTTGGAGCACCCGCCATGTGTCGTGGATTGCGACACACAATCTCAGTCGTGACCTCGGTTGACTTTGAAGTCAGCTTCTGCCCATACGGTCACTGCGACCGTCACCGAAGTGGATGGTCTCAGTGTGGCTTTTTCCCATCCCTCATCTTTATCACACCTCAAAGCGCTCCTATTCAGGGCCAGTTTCGTGTATATTCGCATCCTTCAGGTAAAGGTGGCCAAACTGAAAAGTGACCCTGGCCTTGTAGCAGTTGTTCGTAGACATGTTTACCAATGCATCACTGAGCATACATGTTATGGACCCATTATATTTGCCCTGTCCAGAGTATCCATTGCGTGTTTGGATTGCGACAATCTGTTTCGAGCTGAGTTACAAGTTATTTTCAAGTAACTCCCAGCCATATTAATCAATAGGACCACATCCAAAGGGCAGGGTTTTCTCTGTTGTTCGCTCTAAACGCTGCACTCTGCGACTATGTTATACATCCTTTGGACTATTCCGATTGAGATAGCTGTAGTGTTTCTGCCTTACACTGTGCGAGTTAAGTCAGTAGTCTGAAATGAATCGATCAGCTCTTAGCAGCTTGCTAAACTTTATCTGTTGAACTCAGTGACCTACTGCTCTGAAACTCAACTCAACATAAATAAGAACGAAAGTGGCGATGAAGTGCAGTTTAGAAAGCGCTCAACACTGAAGACGCCTCCACCAGAATCTTTTGGCTATTTCGTGATACTACTTGTTCTGTGGTTGCGAATCTTCAGCGTCCATGGTGTTGCTCGATTAACCTGCATCTACCTGGTGTTGCACTATAACTAATTGATTCAATGTCTGGGTCAAACTAATCTTTTTCTATCATCACGGCGCTTTCGTGTGTAGTCTTATTATCAAATACTGAAAAAGTATCAAGACTAATAACCGGCTAACTGCTTTTTTTAGCTATGTAATGTATTTACCTCTCTTGAGTTCCTCGAGCTAGAATCTGAGCGACAAACGCATAGAAAAATAATAGGCCTTTATTACACATACCGTACCAGAATTGATGATGCAACGTAAATATAAACAAAGATAACCATTTAACTTCAATTAAATCTTCATTGAGCGTTACTGTGCAGTACAACTTACTTCTGGGTGTTCAACTGGGGCTATATCGTAAAACCACTGATTTCCTGTTGCTGAATTCGTATTTTGCAAATACATATAACCTTCGCAGCCCAAAGTGTTACAAAGCGCAAAGAACAAAGTGGCTTCTAACCCGTTCTCCGGACCTACTAGGTCAGAATGAAATTCAATATGCGTTTGGTTTCGCCAGTGTGTGAGCGCCATCAGCATCAAATCACAGGGCTGGTAGACTCAAAGGTAAGAACGCATTTTTCACCTTGGCAGTGTCTTCCTCCATTAAAGTGCACATATCTTTGAGGAAATGTTGGCTGTTGAAGTGCAGCCTTTTTGAAGCAAATAGTTCTCTCTTATGAAAGTTGAATGAAAATATAATTAAACACAACCAACCACACTTTCATCCAACTCCATAATAGGTTTGTAGAATTCCGACAGCCAAACTTTCCAATGTGGTTCAGTAGAGCTTGGTAAAGGAAAACGGAACTTGTAATTGGTTTGTTCTTCATTGGCAACGGCGTCCTCTCCACCCTCTTTAGAACAACGTCGAAAAATCTCGATTATTGATTCCAGCTTGTGGACAAATTTCCGAGGCAAACGTGGTGGAGGTTCCACGGTGACGTTCATCAAAGATTTTATGCTGCGCGACAGATAGTAATTTAACTGAAGGTTTTTATAAATACATGTGCATACCTCGGAGTCTACCTCAATTTTCACATTCATGTCTATCATTTTCCGTAAGTGATGCCCTAACATTATCCATTGCATAAGACTACTTTGGGCTTCACATTAAATATTGTCTGAAACTAACTCATTTTTTCCCAATGATTTACGAAACATCAACTTTAAATTTTCAATAACTGATAGGCTTTCCGATTGTGCCTTTTGAGAGCAAATGATCGGCTGAATAGCTGCGGACAAAGACTGCATCTTTCACTTAAATATCTGGTGCACTGTCATCCGAGCTGTAAGTGAAGTAATCCCAGTGGAGCAAAAAAAGGAGAGGGGACGTGCTCACTACACAATCATTCTCAACACTACAGGTAAGCAAACAGAATGCAAGATATGTGAACAAGCGTACATGGGTACAAGTCAAAAGGGGCACAATTTTAGCACGGGAGCACAAAGAGATTGTACAAGGGGGATAAAGACTGCTGGTAAACGCTAGATGAATGTTGCAATGAATCACAACTTTCATCGTGGCCCATTGGTCTGATTTCTTGCAGACGGACAGGAAACACCAACATAATGGCCAAATACTTGCCAATCAGGAGATTGGACTAGCTATTCAAGTGAGGCAACATCATCCGCGATCTATCTATTGACGAGCTGTTCATGCATGTCCGGACAGGTGGCTATTTTTGGGACTGGCCAATCTGTCCCACGAGGGGAGGGGGTGTCTACGCCTCAGGAGACTCATCGTGAGTGATATAAAACAGCCGAGACTCGATTTTCGTTTGAAAAGTCGCCAAAAGTTCAACTGTTGAGGTCATCATCCACTCCATCTACACCAGTAAGCGAATTACTCTTTATACAGAGTAGCAGATCCGTAGGATGTCTTATCTTCCAAGAACATTTTTATGACAGCACGACTGCAACTAATTGATCCTTGTTTTACTACTTTCCACCCTACTTTCAAGTCGGTCGCCTCTTGTGTCAACATTTGAATGTAGAATAAGCGCCAGTGACTTAAGGAAAATTTCCAACACACGATGCACCTTTTCGTCAAGTAAACACCGACCTAGTGGGTTCTCTAACGCCTTCCAACGGTTCGGCTTACCTAACAATCTGCGTCGACCGCCACACTTTGGCACCGGAAGTGATTTCAATCCTAAACTGCACTCCTGCTATAGTTAGGAAAGCATTTTTAGGGAGCTTGGTATCAGAAACCGGCTCATGTTTCGTGATGAAAATTGATAGAATATCATGTTTTCCACATTTAGTACGTGTTTTGACGCTAAAGATACGGACAAGCAGTTTCACTGCCAGCTGAAGGAGACACTCTGCCTTCGAACAAGTACTTTGCGGAACAATGGAACAGTTTTATGGCGGGTAGAAACATATGTTCTTAACAAACTTCTTAGGATAGTGAAGGAAAGTATTGTAAACATGAAGAATATTCATGTAACCAAGTTCAGATGCGTGTCACGGAGCAACGGAACAACCGGAACACTTGTACAAAAAACCTACTTGAGGTGCCAACTAGGAGGCTCGTGATTGGCCCATTCAAGCTGTATCTGACCTCTGTGTTCCTAACATATATATATATATATATATATATATATATATATATATATATATATATATATATATATATATATATATAAATATACATATATATATAGGTATAATTTGTGATACAGACACTGTACCATCAGAATCATGGCTGAATAGTAAAACAGAATGAATAATAAGCAAAGAACAACAACAAAAGCGTTTTTGTCCCCTTTGCGACGCACAGATTTTGAAATTTTTTTCAGTTTGTCCTCTTCTTAGGGTGAGGAAGAAGGGACACCGCAACACACCGATGCACACGTCCGCCACTAACATCGATCTTGAGCCATGGCTTCCAAGGTCTCCAACCAGCAAATAAATAAATAAATAAATAAATTGTATATTCCTCGACGATGCGAGAAGCTGTTCTCTATAAGGAACAGATCAAATAATGGTACAACTTTTCCATGACATTTCATCAATACATTTTCAGAGATAAACATGGATGCAATTGCAAATTATGTTACACAGAGTAATCAGAATCGTTCTGCTATTTTTACCTGCCATTGAATCAGGATTCTTCACAATCACATGATAGATATTTGGGCCGAGAGAAAAAAAATGTAATGAAAGGGGCTGTTGTCCGAAATGTTATGTGTATGTGTTTCAGAAATTTATTCAGACACCATGGATACCGTTTTCGAATGCGTTATCTAGGGACTGTGATGTCCCGAACATCTTAATCACGTTTTGGACGGTTAAATGCTTACTAATAGCAAGCTTAAAATTGCAAAGAGTATAGCATGTTCTGATATCACTTGGAAGTTTGTTCCAAATCTTTGAGTATTGGGTTAGAAAGAAACGTTCTCTGATTCTCGTAGAAAATTTTGGAATCATGACCTTTACCTCTTTGTTACGTATTGGGTATCTGTTGTTTACAGATATGTGAACACCGCTTTCAGGACTGCGAATTTGACAATTTATGATTCTGTAAAGAAAACATAGGTTCAGCTTCATTATCCGAAGCCAAACTGGGTCAAATCCAAGTTTATCGCATCGCTCCTTGTATGTCAACTTTGAGGAATATCCACATAGCTTTTTCGTGAAGCGTCTCTGGACCCTCTCAAGAGCGTGCTGGTCAGATTTCCGTAGATTAGACTGTACCATTGAACAGTATTCCATACACGGCAATACATATGTTTTGTAAAGGGATATGCGAGATTCCGTGAGGTAAAAATGATGGCAGATATAACCAATGGTCTTCATGGCTTTCGAAACTTGGAAGTCACAGTGTTCAGAAAAGTTAAACGTAACTGAATATCGCACGCCCAAGTCGCGAATTGTCCTGCATTGCGAGATATAGGCACCTTGTAGTAATAAAGTGTCTGGCGGTACTTGGCATTTGTACGACAAAATATTACACTTGTCCACGGCAAATGACATCTGCCACAGTTGGCACCAGGAGTCAAGGGCGGATAGGTCATCCTGAATGAGACGTACGGCTTCCTGAGTATTTGCACGTGGTTGTGAGTAGACAACTTTAATGTCATCAGCAAAGATAAATGCAACACCATTTCTTATTCTCTGGAATATATCGTTAATATAAATTAGAAAAAGAAGTGGACCAAGAACACTCCCTTGAATCACTCCACTAGTGATTGCTTTCGGTGTAGAGAAATGGTCGCCTATGCGCACAACCTGCTGTCTACCAATTAGATATGAAGACAGCCAAGAGAACATCGGTTCTCCAATGCCTATAGCCTTCAGTTTTTTCAGTAACCTTCTGTGAGGCACTCTATCAAAGGCTTTTTGCATATCCAGGAACAGGATTACGACACTGTTTCCGTTGTCAATGGCAGCCGTTGTGTGGTTTAAAAAGTCAGTCTGGCATGTTGCGCAGGATCGACCTTGCATGAAGCCGTGTTGCGAATTGCTGATGATGTTAGCTTTGTTCAAGAATATAAATAGTTCATCTTTCACTATCCTTTCCATTATTCTAGATACGATGGGTGTGTGATTTATGGGACGAAAGTTTTTAACCTCGTGGGCAGCGCCATTTTTATGTCGCGGGATAACAACAGAAGTTTTCCATTGAGTAGGGTATACTCCGTTGTTAAAAGAGAGTGTAAAGAGGTTGAGCAAAAGCAGAAGGAAGTCACTACCACTGCGTTTTATTAAACATGGGGGTAGCCCATCAGGGCCTGCGCACGTTGAGGAGTATAAGCGAGCGACTTGACTAGTGATTTTCGCTATACTGAATTCCACTGTGCATAGACCTTCATTATTTTGCGGCGTGATAAATGTTGGTGTATCTGATGATTCAGTGAGCATTGATTCGGCAAAATAAGCACTGAAAGCTTCGCAGATATCATCTGGTGCGTCGTAGTATGTTCCATCAGGCGTGGTGATAAAACTGAGATTGTCACTGCAACGCGAACCCCGGGCACGGAATAGTTTGGCTAGCTCAGCTGTTTTGCTAGGGCCATTCAGAGCTTTATACTCTTCTAGAATGAGAGTTTTGTCTCGTTGATGCCTCTGTTCTTCCACGAGCTTCGACTGCTGTAATAATAGCGCAAAGTCAGCAGTTAACTTGAATTTCTGACGAATCTTATGAAGCTTTCGCGCTGCCTTCAATGCCTTGCGATCGGATTTAGGTTTGGTTTGGTAAGCACATTTTAGTGGTATTGCTGAATCGATGCAGAAGCCGATTATACTATAAAACAGGTCCGTCGCATGTTGAGGGCATGAAGAGAGAAAGAATTTATCCCAATTCATCGAACGAACCAGGTCCTTGAATGAGTCCCAGTTGACAGAATTGAACAGACGATAATGCTTTGTTTTCTGTACATCGGCCATGCGTAGTCTTAGACAGCATTTGATTACGCGATGATCGCTCCCCGGAAATTCATCAAAAACGTTAACACTGATTGCAGGTATGCCCAATGAAAAAATGAGATCCAGCGTACTTTCACCTCTGGTAGGTCGAGAGACTTGTTGCTGCCAACCATTCATTTGGATACAGGAGATAAGATTGTGGGATTTCAAAGGAGCGGTTCCTATGGGCCATGAAATCGAAGGCAGATTGAAGTCACCTCGAATAAGCTTATGTAAAAATGGTAGGCCAGCGGCGCATTCAAATGCAAGCGTCAAAAGTTCTAGGTCTTCTTGACTAACGTTTGGCGCGCTGCATATACATCCCATAAGTAGCTGTTGCTGATTAACAGATATCGTAAGCCACAGTGATTCCTGAACATTGTTCAGCACTGAGTTCTCGAAGGGTGCTGTTGCGAGCGATTTTTTCAGATAAATTACATAGTCACCACCTCGACGACCAGGCCGATTAATCATAAATTTGTTATATCCGAAAATAGTTAACTGAATGTCAGACATGCCATCATGGCACCAAGATTCAGTTATAAATAATATATCAGGATTATTCGCCAAAACAAACGAGCGAAGGGTGTGGTTCTTAGAGTAAAGAGAGCGAACGTTTATCAAAAATACTGAGATAGATGTGAGATTTGAGGAAGATTCTTTAGATTGTGTTATAAACACTGGAGTTTCAAGCCGTGTGCCTGGGCCCAGGTTAGAAATTGTTGAAAAAGTGCGCTTATTGCCAACGGTGGAAAATGATTTGGAGGTGGCCACAGCGGAGGGGGTTGAGACTGAGGATGGCCCTCTAGAAAGTGGTTTGAGGGAAAAAGTCCATGATTACT